AGACCTCAACCCTCATTAATAGTATTCCGCTTAAATACTATAGTACATTAATGGGGAATCAATATTGGTTGCAGTGAACATCGAGCAATATAAAATCTGTCATTTTGTTTTATTCTGAGCATGCTCAATGGGATTTGGCTGCTAAATCACCAAATGACACCAATACATGTATACATGTACATACCGTAAACGTAAAAATTTTCGTGGTGGATAAATTTTCGTTTTTTTCGTGGGCCACACAGATCCACGAAATTTTAATGCAAGGGTGTGGTGGTTAATTCAATAGGCCACGTGACAGCCACACGTACTGACCATGAATATTACTCGTCTCTCTTTCACACTTAAGCATCTCTGCTTCCCAGATCTCCTTATATACATGGTAACCCCTGATAACTGAAAAGATAGTGAAGGTACACATGAGGTAGGCATCTCTGCAGGTGTGGCCATGTCGCCACGTGGTCAATAAATTAATAAGATTGGGTAACGCCTACCACGAAATTTTTAATGCACGAAAATTAATTTTTATGAAAAAATTCCAAAAAATACGAAAATTTACACCACGAAAATTTTTACGTTTACGGCATGTAAAATCCACCAATTGCAAATTGCCAATTCAACTACTGCCAATACTTAAGTTCCAACAGTAAGAAAGACTGATGATACATGTATGGCCCCAGTAACAATGCCAACAATACAACAATACATCGTTATCATTATTCATAATATCATTCTTCAAATCATTGATTATTAGTACCAATCTAATACTAACTTGTCCAGTGAGTTGTCAAGGTTCCATGCATGAAGGCATGATACTAGGAGTCTAGGTGAGCTGATGGTTAGAGGGAGAAAGAGAGAGAGAGGAGGGAAACAATGTAATTTGTGCATATACATGTACATGTACACTGCATTTATAACTTGATATTTACATGTACATGTGTAACTGTCAAAAAATGTAAATGACATTATTGAAGCAAAAAGTAAGCAAATGAAGGCAACATGAAAACCACAAAACATTTACAATACTTTTCAGCACATTAGTACCTTATACATGTACATGCACATGTAAGTAGTCAATGTATGAAAATGTATATACACATGTATTTCAGTGACAATAATTACATGTACATGAATATTAATTACTATAAACTTAATAGGCACTACATGTTGGTATTACATGTACTACAATTACATGTACATGTATTAGCAATGGAATGCTTTGGTGTGAGAGAGAAAAGGAGAGAGAAAGAGTGAGGGGGAGAGCAAAGCTTACATTAATATGAGGAGGACATGCTACAATGCTACTGACCACACCACCATGAACTGCAATAGTGTGGAACAATATTCCTTTGAAGAGGTCCCACAATCTAACAGAGAAATCAGGACCACCAGATAACAAGTGATTGGTATCATAAGCAGTGCTATATAGTCACAGGATACAACAGGAGGGGACTCTCCTCTTGTGACCTCTTAAGAAATAATACTGAGACCATGCTATAGAGGAGAGAGAGAGAGAGAGAGAGAGAACAGAAGCACTGAGAAAAAACAGAGGTGATATGTACATTGTAAATACATGTACACGTACAACTGTACATAAGCAGACTACAGGCATGATAAACACTTGGTATTACTATTTCTACAGAAAAAAATCCTATTCATATTGCATGTAATTACAATGTACATGTACATGTATGAATGCATGTACATACATGGACATGTATACAATTATTGTACATTTGTATGCAGAGTACCTCTTGAGAACTTTCTCTTGGCTAGTAAGAGTTTGGGAGCTGCTTGAGCTCCTGATAGAACTATAATACCACCATTGGACAATACACAGATCAACCGACTGAATTGTGTCAAAAAATAAAGAAACAGTAATATTGGAAGAAGGACCAGCACTTGTACTGG